ACATGTACTTATAAATATTTTACCCCTCTCTCAAAGATAATACACTAATCAGATTCTTTTCTCCATCTCTTATTATCTAGTTTCTTTTCTCTACTTTTTCTTTACGTTATCAGTACGATAGTCTTTTATCTATTGGTCTTGCAACTAGAAGAAAAAGCTTTGAAAAATTTTCTTGAAGAAGGTCATATTTTTTAAGACAAATATTTCAAGGTTATCTATTCATTTTCCATAATAAGATTTTATCAAAAATTTGTATTGTTTACATTGTTATGAATCAAATACTCTTGAAGACATTATAGTAGTCCTAAAGACACTATTAAATAAAGAAATTTTTCATACATTTTTTATATTTGTCTAGAAGACAATATCAAAGAAGAATGTTCAACCTCTTTTACTTTATTTTTTTTCTCACCAGAAGTGGGAAAATGGTGAAAAAAATGAAACCGAAAGAACAAATTTTGTTTTTGAAATTGAATGATTCTCTGTGAATGATATGTGTTGTAAAATTGTATAATTCTCCATGAATGTTATATATATACACATATAACGATTTTGCAATGATCCAGAAGACATTGTCAAATTAATAAATTTTAAGCATTTTTTTTCTCACCGAAAGTGAGATAATTGTACAAAAATAAAAAATAAAAGGATATTTTCTCACCGGAAGTGAGATAATTCTACGACAATGAAAATATAAGAATATTTTCTCACCGGAAGTGAGATAATTATGCAACAATGAAAATAAAAGGATATTTTCTCACTGTAAGTGAGATAATTGTACGACAATGAAAATAAAAGAATATTTATCCCACCGGAAGTGAGAAAATAATATGAAAAGTGAAAAATAAAATAAATTTCACCAGAAGTGAAAATTTTGATATAAATATATTATATTGTATTTGATCCTTTGATATAAATGAGGTCATCACCGGAAGTGAAATAATTTTTTTAAATATCATAATTATAATGTTGAATGATATTTGAGGCACTTATAAAAATTATGACTTATATATATATATATATGTGTGTGTGTGTGTGTGTGTATCTATGTATAAAAATAGATTAATTAATATATTAATCTCTATCGTGTTCGAAAACTTTTGGAGTTAATGACACTCATGGTAACAAATGAAGTTAGTTTCTAACTTAGCAAATTGGAAAATACTTGTGGCACGGCACACCTGGAATAATATATGCATATGATGCATGTCATACATTCATTATTTCATTGACTCAACATTTAACTTATTACAAAATTTCATTAAGTACATCATGTCATCATTTTTCATATTCTTATAATCACTGCTTGTCTCAATAGTCCATTCTTAGGTCTCATGTCATTTGTCCATATTTCACATGGTCATGTCATAAATACTCCTCATAAGGTCCGCATAGGAATTTACATTCTAACCATTAACAAGTCTCCTTCACAAGGGTAGGTTTCTTCCTCGGACTCTAAGATTTCTTCCTCATCACTTGAAGAAGAAGAACTAGCTTCATCAAGGCTACTATAGTGGTCTTGGCCCCTTAAAATCATGGTTTTCTTTGTTGGACATTGAGAGGCAATGTGCCCTCCACCAAGACACTTAAAGCACTTGATGTCACTTGTCTTAGTTTCTTTGGAAGATGTCCAATGAGAGGTTTTATCTTTTTCTTTTTCACTAGGAAAAGGTTTGGAAGAGGGGCCCTCCTTCTTGAAACTCTTGGAATAAGAAAGAGTGGAGTCTTTTCTAAAAGTTTTTCTCTTAAGTTGATGTTCCACTCTAGAACAAAGTTGAACATGCTCATTAAAATCTCTACATGGTAAGAGTTCAACTTTTTCTCTTATTTCAAGGTTAAGACCACTTTGAAACCTTGAGATGGTGGTCCTTTCTTCTTCCCTTATCCCAGCCCTCATCATTAGTAACTCCATAGATTGCCTATATTCTTCCACACTAGATGACCCTTGTTTCAATCTTTGTAGCTTGTCCATAAGCTCAAGGTCATAGTATGGAGGAATATGCCTCCTCCTCAAGGCACTACAGAGCTCATTCTAATATTGAATTTGGGGCTCATGGTTTATTCTTCTCGCTTTTTCTAAGGAGGTCCACCAATACATGGCATGCCCTTGGAAGCTAAGGGTTGCCAAAGAAACTTTTCTCTCTTCACTCACTCCATGGCAAGAAAATAATTGTTCAACTTTCATTTCCCAATCTAAATAAGTTTCAACATTGTCTATGTTGCCTTGGGGCTCTTTGATAGTAATCATCATTGTGATGACTACTATAGAAGTTATCACTTGGAGGTTGGGTATGATGCCCTTCCTCCTTATGAATACTTGAGGGTATTCTAACCCCTTTTCCCTTTGAGGATTTAGGGGAAGAGACTCTTGGTCTTGAGCCACTAGCCTCTCCTCCCATAACTAACCTAGCAAGCAACCTTTTTATTTCTTCATTATTTTTCTCATTTTATTTTTCTCTTCTTCTCAATTCTTCCTCTCTTTTTATATTTTCTTCCTCTTTTCTTCTCAAGTATTCTTTTAATTGTCTAAGCTCATCCCTAACACTAGACCTAGTACTACAAGAATTTTGACCATGTACACTATAATGATAACTCATCTTTGATCAACAAAAATTTTCAAAAAAATAGAGTTCAAAAGATTTGGCACAAAAGGTTTTCACAAAGAGTGAGTGATAAAAGGTTTTCACAAATGGTTTTCAAGGTGAAAGATTGGTATGAAAAGGCCTAAGTGTAAAAATTGAACTATAAGGAGAGGTGGACTACTAAGAATCACTTAAAAACCAAGCCTTTTCAAGTAAGAATCACTAAGTCCTTTCACACTTTTCTTACAAAAACAATTTTCAGAAGAATTTACTGTGTGGTGTGCACGGCCCCCTAGTAGGAAAATTGAAGCCTTCTAAACGAAACAAATAAACAAAGTAAAGTCGTAGGCCTATATACTACAAAAGCTTTAAAGCATGCAAAGGAAAGCACTTAAAGCATATGCTAGTCAGATTCCTAGGTGAAGGTTTTCAAATCACCTCCAAACTACACGAAATTACTACCAAATTGAAGAGGTTTAAAAATGGCCAATTACAACCCAAATAATGAAAAAAAAGGCCCAAAATACAAGAGGCCAAAAATTGAGCAAAAGGAACAAGTAAGAAAGAAAGAAAATTAAAGGTCTTCAACTCCTCCAATTTGGCTTCCTTCACAAGAACAAACTTGGTTAGTCCTCTCCTTTAGTGTTTACACTCCTTTAAGTATGGTAACCTTTCCAAGGTACTTGGGACCTTCATGGATTTAATCTCCTTTCAATCCCCCAAAGAATTTTTCTAAGGGGTTTTGAGGTAGTGCTTCACCTACACCCAAAGACAACAAACCAACCAAGAGCAAGAAGGAGGCCAAAGGAATAAAATTGAAAAAGCTCAATTAGAAAGCTAAACTCAAAGAGAGATTAATGAGACAAAAGTAAGAATTCCAAAGAAGACAAGCAAAAATTAAGACACATTAAAAAGGCTAGCACACAAAATACAATGTTATCAACCTATAAAGCAAACAATGATACAATTTTAATTCTAAAATAAATTTATTAATTTGCTATATTATTATCAACTAAAAAAATCAATATTAATTAATATAAAATAAAATTTAAAATAAATATATTATATTTTACAATTCTACCAACCTAAAATACAAAACTCGTTACTAAATAAAAGTGATAGTGAGTATTGTCTTGAACAAATGATCATTCAAATAATAATAATAATAATAATAATAATAATAATAATAATAATATTATTATTATTATTATTATTATTATTATTATTATTATTATATATGACTAGGTTAGGTCGGGTAACGAGTTGAAAATACAAAACCCGTTATCCAACTCGTACAGTGTCGGGATTTTGGTCAAGTTGGGTCTAACTCGAGCATTGAAAATATTCGATCCAAACTTGTTGAATTGATTTGGGTCGATAACCCATTATCCAACCCATATAATGTCGGGTTTTGGTTAGGTTAGGTCTAACTCAAACATTGAAAAAATTTAATCCAAACTTATTGAATTGATTTAGATCGGTTCGAATTCACGAACTACTTATACCCACTTACATTGCTAGTAGGTTATTCCTTTGTGATTTATAATAGACTATAAACAATGAATCAAATAAAATTATTTACAAACAAAACAACTAAAACAAAACCTTGCATGACCTTTGAATGGGATATCAAATACATACAGATTTAGGTAAATATAATCTTCTTTTCGGTAATAGAGTACATATAGTAGAATCTATTAAAATTAAAATTGTGCGCAAAGGCCTTTTGTTTTGATGAGCTCAACCTATGAATAAATTGTTTGTAATTATTGAGGATTACTATCCCATTGTTTTGGTGAGGTAAAGAAAAAGACAAATACACATAAAAGAATATATGATTTGTTTGGGGAAAATGTTGAAGAACTTCTTTAATATATATATATATATATATATATATATATATATATATATTAAGATAAAAATAAGGTGAAATGAAAGAATTGTTTGGATATGTTAAAAATGGGATAGTAAATAATTTTTTTTAAACAGAACAATTATTTGTGGTAAAGATTTTAAAAAAAATAACCTAATGATGAAAGTTTGGAGTAATATACATATAATTATAGGTTGAAATTTTATTATTACTGTAATTCTAATTGATTAAAAAAAATTCCAATGAATCACATTAAATAAATTAGTGAATCACATTAAGTGATAAGACTAATTATGAATTATTAAGAGATGAAATGAGAAAAATAATAAATGAGACCAATTCTAAAATTTGTTTCCACATTTCTCCTTCAAAAAAATTAAATTTACGTTAATTAAAAATTAAAAATACGTTAAAGCCATCGGTTCAATTATGAAAGGGTGGATTTGACACACTATGAGTGTGTTTGGTTATCATTTTATTGAACGTAACCTTAGTGTTTTTTTTTTTCAATCCATCATTGTTTCTCCATGAGCGATTGTGTAGTTTGTGATGTTCTCAAATGAACACGCGCATAGCACGTGACCATCTTTATTTCTCCCTTCAGCAAGCTCTTTCTTCCCCACCACCAATACGGAGTGCGAGTAGTGGTACAACTATCATCTCACACACTGCCTCTTTTCTCGCTCGCTCATTTCTTTACCGACAAACGCAAAGCCCTTTCTTTCCCTTTTCTCGGAATTTTCTTTTCGTGAGAAAAAAAAAAGCCCGAATTTCGCCATTCCTTTCCCATTTCGACCGCACACACGCGCTCTGCATTATCTCGCACTCAAATTCAACCAATGTGTTCGTGCAATCAAACTTGGTAATTTTGGCGGAACTTTTCAGGCTCGAATTGCGCGGATCTCAAATCCACGAAACCAAATGCACGGGTACAGCCGCCTCGGCGGAGCAGCGCGGTCGCCGCCGTCGTCGCCGCGGTTTCGCCATGGCCGGAGCAAGAGCAGCAGCTGGGGTTCGACGAAAGAGGGCAGTTCCATGGAGAAGTTGGTGTCGACAACTGGAAAGGGGGATATAATGATCTCATTTTGAAGTAAGTAAGAACAAAGAAAAAGAGAAATCACTTAAGCTTAATGAGTTATACTCTAATTTTTCAAAGAGATCCACTTCATATTTGTAATTTTGATTTGTAATAGAAAAATAAGTGAGATACCTTCCTTGGTGAAAGTTCCATAGAAGGAGATTGACTTGTAATCTTTGCTCTCTACAAGAACACAAGAAATACTATTTATGTAAACATTTCCTAGCTAGCAATGAGAGTATAATGTTGTAGGAAGGGAAAGAAAAATCACAACAAGTGTTGTGTGTGGTCTCATAATAAGTGGTTGTGAGGTTATCCTTCTAAACATGTGGTTGAGTGAAGTTTCTCAACAAGTGACTAAGTATTGTTGATAACAATAGGTGGCTGTGTAGCCGTTGTTGTATTAGCACGTGGTTGAATTATGCAACAATTGGTTGTAGCTTTAATGAAAAATCCCACGAGGTTATGTGAGGACTGAATGTAGCATAGTTGGAGTGAACTAATATAAATTTTGTGTCCATTCTTTCTTTCCTGGTCTCTTTACTTATTTATTTAGCTTTTGCATTTACTATTATATCACTGCATAATCTGGATCATGAACAAGTAAATTGAGAAACTATTCTAGTAAAATATGCTCAATATAAAAACTAATTTTATTCAAACAACATGTTTTCTAAGAAACTAAATTAAAAAGAAACAATGTTTAAAAGGAAACAATTTAACCCCTTCCCTTCTTGTTTTCTAACATTCACTTCATGTGGGTTTATAAATCTTGCGGATAACTCATGTTACTTACTTAGTATGAACCACTTTTTACTTCAAGAAATAATAACTCACATTCTTGCAAATAAATGTCTAAATAATTTTACAACAAAATAGTTAAATATGAAACTCACATAAATATAAAGAAATAACTTGTTCATAAAATTGAAATTTCAAGTAACTTTAAAACATATATAGTTGTTGTAGAACTCAAAACAGATGCATTGCAACATCTAAAAGATGTTAACTATGTTAGATCATTCATATTGTTAATTGTAATTTTTTTCTTCATATGATATCCCTTAAGCGAAAAATACTATAATTAAAATAATTGTGTATATTCATTCACATAATAGAAACATATAATTAAAATAATTTAATTTTATCATAAATCAATTGTATAACATATTATTATTATTATTAGATTAATAATCATGAATTATACTTTTATCACTAATGGATCGATTAGGTCATTTTTTGTGACTTATTTATCTTGATCTAGGTTTTGTTGCATGCTGATGGTGGCTCAAGATGTAGTTTGTCCCAATGCAAAGTTGAATTGATTGGGAAAATAAAAATATAATAAAGTTGCACCAAGTAGGAAACAAAACTTAGACTTAGTGATAAAGGCTAGCTCACTTAACCACTTTGACAAATGAGATTTTGTTCTTATGTTTAACAATTACAATACATATACCTATATTAAATTAAATTTATTTATATTAGTTTATTAGTTTATACAATTTAATTAGTGATCTATCTATTCAACTAATGATTTGCCGACTCATAGGTCTAGATTTTAAAATTATGCTTCTATATTAGACATGATTAATTTTTCATAATTACTCTAATTTTATTTATTTCTTTTGTATAACTTATCATTCATAAAAAATTATGAATCCATTGAACTAAAAAGAAGTAAACCCTCGATTATAAAAAATAAGAGGGTAAATATCAATTATAATTCTCATATTAATTTATATTATTAATCTTATTTGTTCTTTGTTGTGATTTTCACATAGAGAATTTTGAATTAAATTAAAAAATTAAAAATAGAATAAATATTAAAAGCATTTTGCCAAAAAAAATTAATCACGATAGAAATATAGTATTCTAGTTAACTTTTCTAGAAATCAATTAGGTAATTGTCTATTCCAATTTTTAGATTAAAATAATATATATATATATATATATGTGTGTGTGTGTGTGTGTGTATCTATGTATAAAAATAGATTAATTAATATATTAATCTCTATCGTGTTCGAAAACTTTTGGAGTTAATGACACTCATGGTAACAAATGAAGTTAGTTTCTAACTTAGCAAATTGGAAAATACTTGTGGCAAAATTAAAAAATTAATTAACATATTGGTTACTTTGGTTTTATCTTTCATATTGGGGATGCTTGTTTTCACGTTAGTTATACAATTTGGTCAACCATAACTATACATTGGATACCAATTTGAAGTATCAGTAGAAACTAATTGCAATGCAAAAAAAAAAAAAAAAAAAGCGTAACATACGCCATTTTGTCCTATGAATTGGCTCTCAACTTTCGGATTTCATATTTTAGATCAACATTCTAAGAAACAAAAGAAGAAAAAAAGATTTTATTTTCTCCTCTTTTGTCATTTATTTTTGTTTTGTTGGTAGTTCTAGCTAACCTCAACCTTAATCCACTTGTTATTTTAGGCTTACACAGTTTATCTGAAGCAACTATATGATTTTTCTTAGACTCATCACTATCCCTCCACACAAAGGCACAACACTTCTTATCAATAGCTTCACAAATGGACGTAAGGATAAGGGTTGACTGCATAACATAAGTCAACAAGCCTTGTAAAACGAATTTAGTAAAGGTAACTCTACTAGCCATAGAGAGCATATTGGCATGTCAAGACTGTGCCTTTTATTGATCTTATTCAAAATAAAACTAAAAGTTTTTTCGTTGACTTTGTTGTGCAAAATAGGAACCCTCAAATATTTGCCAAGATCCTATTACATTGGAATTTAATTCGACTCAGAATATTGTTCCTAACATGTTGGCCAACATTTGTTTAGAAGTAGATGCATGAATTCTCCCCACTCACCTTGGCACTAGAGCTTTCATAGAAGAGTTGTAGAGCTAGTTAAGCAACATTAACTTGGTTAAGAGTGGCTTTAGCAAACAAAAGGATATCATCAACAAAGGCGAGATGGGATATAAGAGGACCCCTCTTATTGATCTTTATCGACTTCCAAGCTTTCTTATGAATCACAAGATTTACCAGATGAGTGAGGCTCTTTAAAAAAAACACAAACAAATAGGGAGAAATTAGGCTGCCTTGTCTTACCTTATGTTTAGGTAGGAACTCATCCAACAACTCACCATTCCACAACAACTGCATCTTAGCAGAGGAAATACAAATCCATATCAGGTTAATGTAGGACAGTAATTATCATTAAGCAATTCTTAGATGAAATCTCACTTCAAGCGATCATAGGCCTTTTCAAGATTGATTTTGATATCCATCCAACCCTTTTTGCCCTTTTTTACCTTTTTTACCCTCATCGGGTAAAAAAATTTCTACGCAATAGTGATATTATCCCCCACTGTGCTTGTTGGGAATGAAACTAACTTGGTAGGACTCAACAAGTTTTTCCATAAGACCAAGGATTTTGTAAGTCAATATCTTGGTGACTTGTTTATAGGAAACATTTCATAATCCAATTAGTTCAAAGTTCTTTAACTTATAGGCTCCCTCCCTTTTGGGAATGAGAGTTATAAAGGTTTCATTTATGTTAGCAACAATCTCAAGGTTATGAAAGATCTTATGAATAAGATCAACGGGGTCATCCCCAACTTTATGTCAATGAGATCAGAAGAACATAGTACTTACACCATCGAGACCTAGGGCCTTTTAACTACCCATACTCCAAAGAGATGAGTAAACTTCCTGCCTAGAGATGCCCCACCTCAACAAAGCAACCTCATTTGGAAGAAAAACATGAGAAAAGTTAGCAATGTATGAAATTTGTGTTGAAAAATTTAATGATTACTATACAATTTTTTTTGGCAATGTATGAAAAATTGACATTGACAATGATGATTATAAACTTTGGGTAGTGGTTTACGTCATTAGCAACACATTGAAACATCTTGTCTACTAAGTACAATTTTTTTCAAATTTTGGAATACTTAACTTCATCTCTTAATGTATTCTTTACTTGAATAAAAGTATAGTTAATAATAAATTAAAGTCAGACAACCATGATTGTCAAGACCATGAAATGGTCCAATTACTTGCATTCTTTAGTAAAGTATTATTTTTTTTAACAAACACCTCAAATTCATTATAAGAATCTTCTAGATTAATAATTGCAAAACTTTCATGATAAAAATCAATAGAAAAAAAATAACGATAACCTAATCTTTTCTACAATAATGAAGATTAAAGTCAATAAAAAAAATCAGCACTATGACTTCCTCATGGTCATCATGATGGAAATGGGCTAGCCAAAGGACCCACAACTAGGGGTATGGCTAGAAGGATGCAAGAAGATTGAGCTAACATTAAGGTTGATGGGCTCAAGCTACTATTCACTTGGATTATATCTTGAGGCCCATATGTTTCATCCAAATGTTTATATCATATATTTTTATTGTTGTATTTTGGGCTTCATAGATTAGGGTTTTAGTGTCTTAGTCGTGTTGGACCTAGTTTTGGATTCTATGGACTTTAGGCTTTATATAGTCAATATTGGTCTTATTTTGTTTGTCCTTTTATTTTTAGAAATAATTGTATAGGAATTTGTATTCATTATAAGGTAGGCTGTAGGAGTGTAAGCGAGTTGGATTGGGTCGTGTTTAAATGAACCTGTTACCTGACTCAATCAAAATTTAATGGGTTGGATTTGGTTGGATTAATTAGGTCAACATAATTAAATTTATTTATTTATATATAAATTTAAATATTTCAAAATAGATGTAAAGTATTTGATAAATTGTTGGGAAATGTAGAATATCTTTATATCACGAAAATCCACTTGAATAAAAAGGAAGTATTGAAAAAAAATTACCTGCTTTCTCTTATGGACTGTATTACACGTATGTTAATACAGTTGAAACAAATATTATTGTAAACCAGAAGTTTACAAATCAAAATAAATTTGAGGTTTGGCATGATCAATTGGGTCATCCTGGGAGTATCATGATACGAAAAATAATT